TTTTTAGCTCAGATCTACATTCCAGAAAAGGAAAATGAAGCAATGAATGCTGTTGTACAGTACTAGTAATACAGCTCTGCATTTCTTTAGTTGGTCCTTGGAGAGCGGTTTCTCGCCCCGTGCCTGCCGTGCCCCTCACCTGGCGTCCCCATGCTCCTGGATTCCTCTGGGCAGCATCCTTACAGGAGAGCAGTGAATGTGTTCACCCGCTCACAAAAACTGTCCCATTACAGCTGTCTGTACTCAACCTCGGTGTCTCATACAAAGATGAGGAAATGAAAAATAAATGAAGTGTCGCCACTTGGCCATTGGAAAAATGACTTAATTGAGTCAAACCAAAGCTGTGAGCAGACTGAAATGGGCTCAGGAGGCGCAAACCCCACCAGCCTCTCTCCAGAGGCCTTGCAAGCTCAGTGCACGGCCCAGGGTCCGACACAGGGGCTGGCAACACTGACGAGCCCACCCAGCACTGGCAAACGCGGCCCCGCTGTGCCTGCCCCCGTGATGGGTCTGCAGCCCCACGGAGGTGCTGCTGGAGGGAAATGAGAGCAACCAGATGCACCATGAGAGCTGGTGGACGGTTTTATTGCAGGACATCTTGAAGCAGCACCACAAAGGTGTGACATCCTCCCTACCGGGCATTTATCCCCACTGGAATAGGGATAAATGAGGGTTTCCATGCCATCCTTTTAACCCTTTCTTGGCTGTTTCTCCTGCCACTTCACCCACACACACCCCTTCCCCATTTTTTCCATCCATGCCAAGCATATTTCTGCACTAAGTCTCAATGCATCGTGCCAGCCCAGCGTGAGGACCATCCTCGGGGCAGGGTGCTGCTGCTGGGGGGGTCAACCCAGCTGGGACCAGGCAGGGAAGCCACCGGTGTCCTTTGGGAGCAAAGCCTGTGGTGCTGGGGAGGTGCATCCCTTGCGGGGCACGGGCTCGGTCCCTGCCTCCACAGGGTGACGTGGGACAGCTGCTGGCTCTGCTAGCATCTGCCTCCGGTGCACAAGAAGATCCCCACGGCCATGCCCAACAAGGCGAAGGTCCCCAGGATCAGGCCCAGCACCAGCGGGGCATACGACTGGCTGCTCTGTTTTCCTGCAAGAGGCAAGAGGGATGAAGATGAAGACTGGGGTCACCCCCACCACACCACCGTGTCCCCCCGCCCCAGCCCCGGCACAGACCCGTCCAGGCGCTCTGAGCTCGCAGGATGCCAATGCAGGTGGTGTTGAGGAAATGCTGGAGGTCCCGGGTGGTCTTGGGATACTTCATCAGCTCACTCTCGGCAAAGGTGGCCACCGCATCCCTGCCGGGCCAGCGCCGCTCCCAGGTGGCGTTGGGGACATGGAAGCTGAGGAAAGCCGTCCCATTGAGGGTCACCTCGTAGAAGCTGTGGGCTGTGCCGTTAGGGAAGAGACGGCAGCCCAGGTGGCAGCACAGGCTCTGGGTGTCTGTGGGGACAGAGGGAGGGGGTCGGGGTCAGCACGTTCCCACCATCAGCAGCCCATTGCTATCACCAGCATCAAGCTGTGCACTGAGTTTGCAAGGCCTCAGCCTTGCACTGCTCGACCCACCCACAGCTTTGTATTCGCTCGGTTTAGCTGCAGTGGTGACTTTTCCAGTAACCGGGCAGCCATGCTTATTTTTCCCTTCCTTATCTGCGTACAGCACAGCTTCAGTTTTGTAGAGATGGGAGATTTTTTGGCGCAGAGCAAGCTTTTCATCGCTTTTGTGGAAGGACGCAGCACAGGGAGCGTGGGGTAAGGGGAGGTGTGGGGCTCACACCAGGGACCCCAAGGTGAGAAAGTGTTCCTCAAGGGCCAGGTAAAGAAATGCAGAGCTGGGGCAAAACTGGTAGGAGGGTAACAAAGAAAATGAAGGTAAAACACATCCTGCGCAGGAACGTTGGCGGTACCATGGGCTTGTGGAGCAATGCAGGCAGGAACACAAAACCATCGCCCTCAGCATCCCACACCTCCCACAAAGGCTGCGGGGGCAGGTGGAGTGCAGGCAGGGTGCAGCTGGAATGAAGGCAGGGTGCAGGCAGGATGCAGGTGGGGTGCAGGCAGGGTGCAGGTGGGATGAAGGCAGGCTACAGGTGGGGTGAAAGTGGGGCACAGGCAGGATGAAGGCAGGCTACAGGTGGGGTGAAAGTGGAGTGCAGGCAGGGTGCAGGCAGGATGCCTACACCTCACCGTGCCCCCCGGGCTGCAGCCCTCAGCCCTGCTCCCCAAGGGGCAACAGGAGGTTGAGCATCACCCTGTTCCTGGGGTGGGCTTCAGGTAAGAAATTCCCGGCTCCTCAGAAGGGCTCCTTTTGCCCAGAGTGAGGTTTTGCAAGTGGCTGTGTCCCCATCCCTTTGCCCAGCTGTCCCTGGAGAGCCATCCCCATGCCCAGGCAGTGCAGGGGGGGCTCCCCTTCCCCAGTGGGACCTGTCCCCCACCGGGCCATGCATCTCCGTGCCCCCTCGGGGTACCACTCACAGTTGATGGGCCTCTCCTTGCTGAAGAGCTCTACCAGCTGGCTGAAGTAGAGCAGGTAGGTGGTCACGTCCTGCTGCCGCCTGGCCCAGACGTCTGGGGGCTCCAGCGGCAGCACCTGGGTGACATTAAACCCCTCCAGGAGATGGCTGAGCTGCCCGTCCAGGCTGGCGTTCCCCGAGAAGACGGAGGTGCCCTTGGAGACACGGGTCCGTTGCAGCATGGTGAAGGCAAGCGGGGCTGTGAGAGATGCTGAACTTCACCCACCGCCCCGTCCCCTTCCCATAAGCTGTGTCCCCCCCAATGCCAACCCCAAATCTCTCCAACCCCATTGCCACCATATCCTTGCCTTACCTGCCTGCTCTGCCCTGCAGCCCAGGGCCCCACAGAGCAGCAGCAACCAGAGCATCGTGGGGACAGGGAGGGGATGGGAATGGTGGCCACACAGCTGGCCTGGCAGGCAGTTAAGCGGGACCAGGGAGGTGGGGCAGCGGGGTGGCGGGAGGAGGAGAGCGGGAGTCCAGCCAGGTCTCTCCCATTTCCTTAGCCTGAGCCACCCACACCCCTTCCCTGCCGGACGAGCCGGGGGGGCCCAGCCCTGCAGTATCCGGGGATGGAGATGTGAGATGAGGCTCCGAGCTCAGCCTGGGGCCTGCAGGACCGTACGGCACCGCTCCAGCCAGCGCGGGAGAGAGCAGCCAGCGCCTGCCTCAGTTTCCCCATGCCTTGGCTAGGCAGTGGCCTCAGCCAGGTGATGCGGGAGGCCAATGAGGTCACAGCAGTGGGGGACCACTCCAGGAGGAGAAGGGACAGAGGGAGGGAAGCAGCCACGCAGAATCACGCTGCACCCGTCAGGGCATCCAGTGCCGTTGTTTCCACAAGCACTGGTGTGATGGGACTCCCATCCTTGGAGGGATGCAACCCTCGAGATGCCGCATCCCCCATAATGGGCTGGCCGGGGGGGCTGGGACCGAGAAAACCCTGGCTGGGCTTCCTCTGTATGTTTGTTTTTCAATTATACCTAAAATAATTATAGATTAAAATGTTTAAAATATAATATTTATATTAAAAT